GTACAGTCTAACTGATGACATCATGATGTGTTATACAGTCTAACTGATGACATCATGATGTGTTTTACAGTCTAAGCGCTCCGTCCTGCAGCGAGGATGTTTCAGGAATATGAATTATTGTTTAATAGAATGATTTAAAAATCTAACTAATGAAGCTGGCTTTGATAAAAAGGTGGTATCTCTATAAAATATTGAAAACAAATTGACGTCAGGGACATGTTTAACTAATAATAAATAATAAAAATTAGTCAATATCACAGGTGTCTTCAGTCTGTTTAAAGGTGACAGGTAGTCACAGGTCTGAGTGAAGTCATGGTGTGTAAACACTGGACATTAGATAGATAGATTTTATTTAAAACAAGGACAATATACAGTATTCATTAGCCTCCGAATTATCCTCCCTAAAGCTGGAAGTGAGTGTTGTTAACTTTCATATCCCTTCATAAACCACAGTAGAAATATGAGTGAGCATCAGTCCTGATGCTTTTTGCTAACAGGCAGTCTGCTGCATGGATTAGCCAGTTTTAAGATAYGATTTGTTTTTACACAGCAGCTTACTTTTTCAGTCAGTTTCTGTCTGCCTCTCATTAACTGGACTGTCAGGGAGTGACAGACAGTCTAGTTACCATGGTGACCATTAGCAGCAGCTTGAATGTTTCGTTCTCTTTACACTTATACAGTTTATACATCAAAATCTGTTTTCAAAGTTGTGTTGGAATTTATCTGAATCCTTTTAAGACTTAAATGAGAATTTTCTGGTTTCTCTTGGTTCTACASTCAGTTCTGACAGATGGATCCTGTCAGCTGGTAGTCTTTTAGGGTCAGAAAACCAGTTTTTCTGCAGTGAAATCCAGCAGAAACAACATTTCTGTGTGTTTCAGATCAATAAGCTGGACAAAGCGGTGGCAGCTGCCAACACGTTTTTCCAGGCCAATCCAGATCACTCAGAGATGAAGCAGAACCTGGACTACTACAAGATGATGGCAGGAGTACAGGAGGAGGACTTCAAAGACCTGGAGACAAGTCCACACATGGTGAGCGCGAGTGTCCTCTTTGATGAGCACCGTGCTGCTGTAGCAAAAAGAGAAGGAAGACCAGCGTGTTGATTTTTATTCATTTATTACAAAAGGTTTTTGTCGTGTTTGTTGGAACAGTTGTAATGTCAGCTGTATTTTCTCACAACCTCTGCCAGCATCGATTAAATGGTTGATGATTCAATTATATCAAGGCAAAAAGAAAATATCGATCTGCATCATCATCGTACGTTCGTTGTGAATCGAAATCATTTATGATATCATACATATCGAGYGCAGACTTCTGAAGTGAATTGAATCAAAATTGTATCGTGACAGACTTTGTGATATAAAAAAATTTCAAACCATCATCCAAACAAATCAATGTGATGAAGCTGGTGATTCACACCCCTAAAAAATACACAATTTTGTCTCGCAGTTATCCCAGTAAGACATATTTTCTCASACTTCATGAGAAAATATGAAAAATAAATTTCACCCCTTTGTGGGGTGAAATTCTGTGAAATTCTGGTCCTCGAGGATTGCTATCCTGCATGGTTTTCTTGTTTCTTTGCTCCAACACACCTGATTCAGGGATTGAATTTTCAAATTCTGCAGAAGCCTGTAAATCAGGTGGACTGGATCAGAGAAAAATCAAAAACATGCAGGATCATAGTGGCCCTCGAGGACCGGAGTAGAAAGTCCTGACATAAAATGAACAGATCTGGATTATTCAGAGCTTATCTTGATCTTATCAGTCAATCTTATTTTCCTGCAACACCTACGCAACTCATTCAAAACAGATGAAATAAAATAACCTGACACAATATGAGCTGTGAAGTTGTCTCTCTGCTCAGGCCGAGTTCCTGCTGGGGAAACGGCACTATAGCGATGACTCGTTTGGACTGGCGGCTGAACATTTTGAGGCGGCCCTGGAGGAGTACTTCACCGCTGACAGGGAGTGCAGAGCTCTGTGTGAGGGAGCCTACCGCTTTGATGGCTACACCTACATGGAGTACAGCGCAGATCTGTTCCAGTCCATGACAGGTGAGATGTTTTAATACTATAAATGCTGAGTCAGCATCATTTAACTACCCCTTATAATTTACTCTGCAAAGTTTTATTTTTTTATTTTTAGACAGCTTTTACATTGTGATATCTTAAGTAGTTATGTGTAAAAACATTTATCAGGAACTGTGTACAATGACTGTTATCTTTTTGTAACATATATTTTCTAACTACGGTATTTAATTTAAGAATGATGTTTTTTTGTAGAAATACTGTACACTGAGATCACTTTTAACTCATTCAAATCCTGTATTCTATATAAAATCTGCTTAAACTACTTTATTTGTGTTTACTTATGCTACTTTTAGCTATTGTTCTGCTAGTTGTATCTATAAGCTGCCACTGCTGCTTTAATCCACAGTTTTACTCATTTATGTAGGGCTGCCATGATTAGACTAGTCACGATTATGTTCACTATTGAAATAGTCAACGACTAATTTAATAGTCTATGCATTGTTCTTTTTCTAACTTTGTTTCTGTTCTTTATAGTAGACTAATCACCAATTAGTGGACTGTAAAAATAATCATTTGTGGCAGCCCTAGGCACTRCTGTGCATGTGTCAAGGACAGAAAGTCAGATGCAGCAGTGGAAGGTGCCCCAGCAGTTTGTAAAGAAAAACAAAGTTAGAAAAAAAACGATGCATCAACTATTAAATCAGCCGACGATTTTAATAGTCGACATAATCGTGACTAGTTGACTAATCGTGGCAGCCCTAATTTTAAGTACAGTTTGGCTACTATTGGTACTGCTGTACTTATTTTGATTTTAGCTAGTTGTTATCTACTTTTACCTGCTGTTTTGCTATTTTTATCATCTGTTTCACTTTTAGCATTAAGTTACCTTTTTGCTAATCTTATCTAAAGTTTGTTCATTTTAGATTTAGCATACATTTTGCTAATATTAGCTCTATAATTCATCTATTAAATTATAATTTATCTATTACACTTCAGCTACTTTTAGTATTTGTTTTGCTTATTTGGCTTTTGCTATTGATTTGCTACTTTTAGCTACAATTTCACAGTTTTTAATWTCTGTTTTGCTACTTTAAATTCACATTCATCTATTTGGTACCATTTTGACAATTTTAGCTACAGTTTTGCTACTTTGTGACCATTTTACTGCTTTTAGACTCGGTTCTCACAGCACTGATCTGTGTGTGTGTGTGTGTGTGTGTGTGTGTGTGTGTGTGTGTGTGTGTGTGTGTGTGTGTGTGTGTGTGTGTGTCAGACCACTACCTGCAGGTTCTGAACTGTAAGCAGCAGTGCTCTGTGGAGCTGGCCTCGGCTGCTGGCAGAGACAAACCTTTTGARGACTTCCTGGCTTCACAGTTCAACTACTTGCAGTTCTCCTACTTCAATAGTGAGTCTGTCATTACCAACAACAGCCTGAACTGTGCAAAATGTCTTCAAATTCACCTTTCATACCTAACATTATTTAGACTTGTGTTTAAATAGAAGAGACTCGATAAAATCTATTTTATTCTGGTGTTCAGGCCAAGAAAGGCAAATTACCTCTGACCTTTTTATACAAGAGTTTGAACTGAACTCATCTTTTGCTGAGAAACCACAGAGATGTAGCCATCTGGTTAAATCTTTACAATAACCCATTTTACCTTGATACCACAACACTCAATGTTTGTAAAGCTGTGTGTTAAAAGCATTTTCCAGCAGGTGATAATAAAAGTTAAACTCAGTGTAATAAAGTGCTACTATAAAGATATAACCACACTATGAGCAAGTTACAAAGACTAGTTATAATGTTAATTTTTTTATATAACACATTTAAAAACAACAAGTTGTCCAAATGGCTCTTCACAGGCTGGTCATTAAGAAAATACTAATACAAAAACAAAACAAACAAAATCAGGAAAACAAACAATTAAATAAAAATGAACAAGTGCAAGAAAGCTTCACAAAATAGATGATCTAAAGGAACTTTAACTGAACTTAAATGTAAAAAAAAAGTGAGTTTTCAGGCTGGATTTAAAATAATTTTCAATGTGAGAATTTGCTTTGGCAGTTTGACATTGATAAAAACTGGTTTTGACAACTGTGGACACTTGCTTCACAAATTTAAAAGAATTGTCTAAAAACAGTCTGAGATTCCTGACAGTAGAGGAACAAGAGGACCAAGAATAAAAGTAAACTCATGGCATGGTTTATATCAGGGGTGGGCTATCCTGGTCCTGACAGGCTGCAGTCCTGCATTTTTTACTTGCTCCTTTGCTCCAACACACCTGATTTGAATGAATGGGTGGTTGTCAGGCTTCTGCAGAACTTGGATAAATCAGTGACTGAATCAGGTGTGTGGGAGCAGAGAAAAAAGTAAAACATGCAGGGCTTCGGCCCTCGAGGACCAGGATTGCCCACCCCTGGTTTTATACAGTATATTATTTATATTTGTATTTATGTTATTAAGTAATTAATTAAGCAATTAACTAATTCTGTGTTAATTCGTGTTTGGCATCCTGTAGGCAGTTAAACAGAGGTGGCCATGGGCAAAGACATCCAGCTTAAAATATAGATATATTTGGATGTTATCAGCATAACAGTTAAATGAAATAAATCTCTCAGGTAACAAATGTAAAGAGAACAGAGCAGGACCCATAATGGACCCCTGAGGTACTCCACAACAAATAGTTGCCAAGGATAAGGAGTTTTCCCTCTTTGAAACAAAAAAGATCAAAAATAAGAGTTGAACTATGGCCTTTAGGCCCAACAAGTTCAGGTGAAAGATTCTAATAATACAATCCTCGTCAAAAATCCAAGGACAAGTTGCTCAGCTATAAAGATGTTGCTTCTGCCCTTCAGTTGAGAAGTACGAGCAGGCCATCGAGTGTGCCAAGACCTTTCTGTTGTTCCACCCGGAGGACCAGGTGATGAACCAGAACCTGAACTATTATTCTGTTGTGCTGGGAGAAGACAAGGCCAGGCTAATCTCAGCCAGACAGGTACACTTCTTGCTCTGTTTTGGTGTGGACTTCTTTACACAAAATATTCTTCAGCACATGTTCTCACAGCGGGTGGTTAGGGGAGTCGTCCTGGAACCGGTAGGTYGCTGATCCTATCCCCCGTCCAGCTGTCTCTGATGTRTGTCCCATCAGTGTATGAATGTGATTGGCACTGATTAGTCTCCATACATACATGTTAGTTTTGTAGAGACCTAATAGAGTGCTGTGTGAATGGGTAAATGAGGACACAGATTGTAGTGTGAAGCGCTTTGAGTATCCTGGTTGGATGACAAGGTGCTATACAAGTACAGTCCATTTACCATTTACAGCAAGAAGATTTCAAACTGGACAAGCAGTGGTGTCTGCAGAAGTGCAGCATAAAAAATTACTTTGATTGAATTTATTGAAGAATCTAAAGAATTAACTGACCAGTTTTGTTGTACCTCGGCACACTGAACCTGACAACAATATGATTAAGAAAAAAGCAGCTTGATGTTTATCAGTCAACAGCTGCACAGATTATTCAGAAGGTTCTCGGGACAAGAGACGACACCCCTGGATGTATCCACAAGAAAAAAAAAGATGACAAATAAACTGTAATCAAAGAATCCAAAACAAAGTCTTAAMAGATTAGAGAGGAACTTCAATGTCAAAGGTCATGTGTCAGATCACAAAAAAGGAGACAACTGAAAAGGAGACTGAAATTTAATTAAAAAAATTTAATAAAACTGACAAGCTACAAAGCTGCTGGGTGGAGCTGTTTGTCTTCAGTCTGTTCAGGGTACAGTGAAATCTCAAGACTATCAAGGCATCTGGAGTTAAATATGCTGCAGCGTGTCAGAATGCCTGGCCTTAGTCACAATCAGTGGTGGGCAGTGCTGTGGTCTTGCCAGCCTAAGGCTGCTGATTCAAATCCAGGTTGCCTCATGAAGGGCTTCAGGTGTAAAACAACTAGTGTTCATGTAGCATGTGGTCATCTCGAAGCTTTTCACCTACTCTTCAACAAAAAAAAGGTTGACACAATTTTATTTCAAGGAAAAACAACTGTGTTGAGTATCTTTAATCATTTGTTGAACAAATATTTAGCAGTTAAACTAGAAGGCGGAGTTATCAGTTTTCAAATTGTACCCTGCAGGTGGTGAAACAGTACATCCAGCAGTCCATACTGGAAAAGGAACTGCTCTACTTTGGATATGAAGCGTTTGGACTCACCTTCGTTGATCCGGTCAGTTATCAAAACAGTTCTTTTTTTTTACCATAGTTGTGTACTTTGAGATAGTTTGGTTACATTTCTTTTTTTTCCCCTGTAAGGACACATGGACTCCTGAAAATGTGATGCCAAAGAAACTCAGAGACAAACAGAAGTAAGATTTAAAATATGACCATGAATGTATCCAGCTTGGTTTGTAATTAAGAGCCATTAAAGTTGATTTAGTTGTTTTGTCACAGGGCTGACAGAGAGACTGCAGCGAGGATCACAGAGGAAATAGGAAACCTAATGAAAGAGATCGAGACTCTGGTTGAGGAGAAGAAGAAGGATTCTTCAGATATGGCTAAGATAATTGTGCCACAAGGTAAACGTCTCAGTCTTTAACAGAATGTCTCACTGGATGAAGTTTTAGTTAGGTCAGACACTTTGTCCAGTCAGCCACTGAACGTTACTGAAATTTTAGGTAAAAGGGTAAAAGGCAGTGTCTGAAGATATTTTTGGTGCAGTTTGGGGCCAGTTTAGGAAATACTGACAGAACAGTTGTGGAAAGTGCATGACCAAATTTTCAAAATAAGCTCAGTTTTTGGCACTTTTTGTGGATGCCAGCTTTAAATGGCTTCATAAGTTCAATATTAGTTACCTGGATTTAGTTAAGCAATCAGTTTTTAACATTTTGGTACCAAAAAAAAAAACAGATCTGAAGCAAAAGATCTGGGGTCGGATTTATAAAACTGGCGTACGCACAATTTGAGCCCAGAAACTTGCGTACGCCACTTTTTACGCCAAGGTTGTGATTTATAAAATCCAAACTTGACGTGAAAATGTGCAGTGCCTCACAGCTCTGGGGTCTCATTTATAAAGGATTGCGTGGAAACCATACTAAAAGTGAACATACGGCCAAAAGGCGGAAATGGCGTACGCCAAAAATATTCAGATTTATAAAACAGTGCGTACGCATGTTTCTGCACATCTTTCCTTTATAAATTCCAGCCGCACGTCAGAGTTTGTGCACGAGGTCCCTCCTCGCGGAGGGAGGGGGGGCATGAAATCTCCAGGAGGAGAGGGGGAAAAGTAACTTATAGCAGCAGAATAGGTTGGAACATGGCTGTTTGATATTATTTATTGTTTTTTTAAATCACCCTATAGG